TCTGGTAGGATATTTTCTTTTTGACATAATTGTGCTTGTGTCTCTGTGCACCCCTACTCCGTCTCGGAGACAAGGAGTGTAACTAGGCCAATTCTCTACTCTACCTGCACACCTGCAGACCATAATTCGCATTAAAATGCACAATCCACTGCAACTTGAAGTTCAGGCGGTATGTGAGTGCGTTCATATATCGTTGAATTAAGGCATGGTTTACAGAAAATTGCAGTGAAATATTCGAAAATAGCTTCATTCGAAACACCTAGAATTTAATTCTGGGAGTCGTTCTTTGTCGAGAATCTTCATGTTATGGGTTCGTGTATTGCGGGCTCGGAAACCTGCGGAAAAACTCGGTTCCATCCATAAATATGGAACCGAAACCGCAGTGATGATCTGTTTTTGATCAGTGGCACATATGGCGTCTAATTCCAGTGGCTTTAGTAATTGCTGAAGTTATGAGAAACTTTTATAGTCGCAATATGAATTCAGTCTAAGGGAAAACATTCCCTTCGAACTTTACTTTTCCTTCACCGAGATACTCTTCCTTCACTTAGAAAACATTAAATTCAGTACACCAGCATCTATATGATTGGTTTCGAGAAAAATATATCTTGGATATGTGGACTAGAAGTCCTCTTCATATCGACAGGCAAGGATAATAGGGGCAAGGGGGTCCAAGTGGGTGACCGCCATGGGTAGGCGCTTTGCACATTTACCTGACAGGGTGGGAGTCGCTCTTTTATCAGGTTTCCCGGGATTGGTGTATGTCGTTAGTTCAAGTCGCAGCAAGTGCGGCAAAAGAGCGGGTTACAAGCGTTAATCGTTCACACCGGGACCCAATCGACCGAACGTGGCGGAGTCTAACTAATCAGGAAATAGTCCAACACACGATTGGCCGCAGCTCGAAACTTCAGTACACACCTGGCAACAGCCATACGTAATCCGAACTGTGGCACTTTAGCGAAAACGAAGATGCCGTTGCAAGCAGCTGAGGGCTCTCTAATCTAATCTTGCTAATGAAGGAATGAAAGGGTGAAATCTTCAGTCCATCTCGCATTCCGCTTTCAATAGGATCCTGGTAGCTTATTGAATGCGGTATGGCATAAACGGGAAAGTAACGGGTCCCGGAATTTCTGAAGATTGCCAGGCGCATTGTCCGGGATCCGCCTCCTGTTCGGCTCAGCCTAGCCGTGCCGATCTTTGGCGGTCGTTAGACTATTACCGGGCTAGTCTGCGTGCCATCACAACTAGAAGGGTGCGTGGCACATCCCAGAGAGCAAATAGCGCCAGAAGCTTCATTCTTTTATCTTTCGGTCTTGTTTGTGTTCTTCCTGATTACCAAGCCCTCTTACCCTGCTAAGCGCTTGTTTTCATTGGGGTCGTTATTTGGCATTGGACGCATTCCGGAGACTAGAAGCCTTGTGATTTTGAGAATGATCATGATTCTGTATAGAACTCTGATGCGCGACGGTCGCATTCCTTAAATGTTATTTAGACCGTGCACACATCCCCTGTCTTGGAGCTGGAGAAGGCTGGCTGCGTGCTTCATTTCGTAGCGGCGAGTGCGCTTCTACTAGGATCTTGACATTTCGAGACAGTTGTGACAACGTCTTCGTGCAACACGAGGCAGGATGTCAGTTGTCTCAAGTAGAAGTATCCCACAAAAAAAAACGCACATCACACCGTGTTTAACGCGTTGTGGACTGTGTGACACACATGGTGTGTCATGCATTTTTCTCTGCGCTTTTTCGAATGATCTTTTTGGCATCCATTTTTTGTTCTACGGTCAACAGAATATATGTGTGGAATACACACATCTCCTGCGAAAGTGAGAAGAACAGATGAAATTACGGGTTATCGATAAAAAATGGCGAAATGATGCGGAGATCCTCTAGAACAGCGGTCGGCGATGTGTTAAAGGTGCGGTCCGCGATGAGGTATAGAAGATGAAAATATGGCATCGGGAGGGTAGTGTGGTCCGCGACGAACAACCTTGTACCGGTTTCGCGGCAAAAAATTGTAAGGGAGGGGCGCTATAGCGCAATATAGGTTCAGTGACGCCTCCTTTTTTCCAGTGACTCCGCCTCCAGACTCCGCCTTCAAGGCCCGCTTTTCAGTGAAACACGTGTCGTAGAGTTCTTATAGGGGAAATAGTTGTGCGGATGAGGGCGTAGGGTTGGAGATGGAGCCCAATGGCACGTACAAAGTGGGATATGGGGTTGTATTTGGAGCAGTTAGCGTATTTTTTCCTCTGCTTTTTTGTTCACTATCGAGTTACTCAGCACCTAGCGGCAGAGGATTGACGGATTGGTGCTAGTATCTACCTTCAAGTACATCACGCATGGCACCTCTTAGTAATGTTGTAGAAGCATTCGATGACATTTTCCAGCTATGTAATGACTCGCGAAGGGCATCCGTTGTTCACACCCGTCTTGCCCTTTGAAAGAAGCCTAATTGCTTGGATGAATTTTGAAAGGACAAGCGATAAACCCTGGCTTGATCCAATGCTCGAAAGTACAACACGACACGTCCATATGGCACACTACCTCTGCACTCACACTACCTATCTGTTCAGTTCATTCCAATAAATACAGCTATCATCTGGCCGCTCATTGATGTTTTTTTTGTTCTAGCTACGGTGATGATCTACTTGCATGTTCGCCGACTGGTGTACAATCACGATTGGACGTGCTGGTGACGTGTGGTGTACCAGCTGGGAGAACGTGCAGACGAGTTGCCCGGAGGTGTCCAGCCATATTGTTCGCTCGAAATCCTGAAGAAATGTCCAAGGTTGCTGAGGCTTTGGGTGGATTCTTCTCGAGGAACGAGGTATTAATATTTCGAATGAGCGCGAAGACTTTTGGTTGCTATGTAAAGCCTAGCAAAAATAAGGCGTATAATGGTTGCTACAATGTTGCGCTATTTTCGGCTTTTAGGTGCGCCGCCTATGCATCCAGGCGACACCTTGAGGTGTTGCTGAAAAATATTGAAGAACTGGAGGAGAAGTATGAATACATTTTCTTCCAGGTGTGTGTTTTTTTTTTCTGTGACTGCATCCACTAGAGTAGGTGAAACACTGGCTGAACCATTTCGGAGTGCGCCATGTTTCCGACTTCTCAGAAAAGTGGAGTCATTTGGATACCTTATTAACCTATTAGAGGCGGAGATGGTGTAGTGACAAGTGGGGCGCTCACCATTCGCGCGGTCCCGGGTTCGAATCCCGGGTCGACTCCCGCCCAGGCCAACCAAGCCTTCTACCCTCCGGGGACGGTGAATTGGTACCAGATTCGTCTGGGAGGATAAAACACTGACTTGTACATCGGCTGGCCACCGCAAGTCATTGTATAGGCCACATCGCATTCAAAGCCACTACGATTCTGAATGGAAGTAGAATGCGTGCCGCATCCCACAAAGGGATTGATCAACGGCGAAGACTTTATCCTTTATCCTTTTATTAAACTATTAAAGTTGGCATTGGGCAAGATCTCATTCAAACACGAGTACAGGGGGGGGGGCAAAAAAGTCACTGTTATGCTTCGTGACTTTGCGAGGCGTTTATAAATTACACTTTTATAAATTCTGAATTCGGAACATTTGTAGGCACCCATATTAAGAGCATATTAAATACTTATTAATGACACTGCCACAGCCTTCTGGACGAGCGCCATCAAGAGATTCTGGCACGCAACCGCGATGTGGTGCCTGAGATCAGCGAGATAGTCGATTTCTCCCGCCACCGTGACCCGAACTCCGTCAACCGGGTAATTGAAGGGATTCAGCTCAGGTTACCTACTTGGATATCCATCTTCTTTAGGTACTCAGCCCCCTTCCATTCCAGGTAGGCGAGAGTTTCTCTCCAACGCCCTTCGATTCCACGTTTGGTGGCACCCAATGCTGTAGCAGTACAAAGTTTCCAAGAAGGTACGGGCGACGACATGTGGGGAAGATATTCTTCTTGAGTTGGTCGATGTAACCGCCAGCGCTCAGCTTCAGCCCGGGGTCCACGAAGAAAATATTGGTCTTCGGTCTTTCCATTTCAGGTGCGTCCGGGTCCATACCACAACGATGACCCGCGCCTTGGCGACTGCCGTGAAGATGATGTCCTAGACCGTAGCGACGTTGTCGGAGCTGCTCGATGATGGAGGTCTTCCAGATCGAGAGTACTGGTCCCCAGGTAGCTACCCATGGGTGACTCCACACTAGAAGTTTCGCAGCTGTTTGGAGGTGACATGAATTCCAAAGGTCTTCTCCAGTCAGGCTGCGACTGGAGATGACTTCATATTTTGGTGTACATGAAGGTGATGGGCGAGAGCCAGCTCCTGCTTATCGAGGAACATCTTGGGTATCTTCCGCCCTGGTACTCGTATCCACACCCTCTCTCTGGGCTGCGAAAACTTTCTGCATGATTTGTGAACTTCGTCGAAGTGACTTTTTTTGCCCCTCCCCCCTGTAGAACTACAGGCTGATGGCGATGAGCCTATGCTAGACGCAGCACATAGCTACAGCCATGTTCGTTGCGGTGAGGCTGGGTTGGCGTGATGCCAGCCTTCTTTTCTGCAAGGACAAGACTGCATCGTATGGCTCCTATCAGTCTTTTTCATCCAGTTTTATCGTCCACCCGCTTTCAACAGTTGGTGAGAAGGGTGCTGGCGGCGGCCGGCAGTCAAGTCTCACTGACACGTCCCAGCATCAGCAGCGAACAAGACTGTATGTGAAAGACTTGTACTTGCTAGCTTCTGCATGTAGAGCAACTATTTCTCGTGTTGATGTGAATTATTGGCTGAGCGTTCTGAATGGGGTGGTGGGTAGGAATCGCCGTTGTCACACCAGTGACTTGCGTATAGAACCCGGTCCGGAACACCTGCGCTTTTCGAATGGTTTTGTAATACTCGATATAGCGAGTACGTGGCTCCATCCAAATGCATTGGTCAGCTGGGAGCACTGTGACCCTTCGCGATGATTTAGTGGCTTGAATAGAACCCACAGTAATAGAATTATTTCAGATGTGTATTGAAGGCGAACAGTTCAAAGATTGTATGAATTGGGCAGTATTGAGTTTGGAAGAAATAATGACGCGACACGAATTCCTTCTGAAAACCGGCCGCTATGTGACACCGGATCCGAAGCATCCACAGAAAGCTATGGTGAATAGATTTGGAAACTTTAATCGAGGGAGATGGCAGTGAAGGCAGTTGTTTGCTCAGATTATACCGGCTTAACCCATCTGGATATGAATTTCTTGCAGATAAAAGGTGGTGCGCCCAACTCATAAAAGTAACGATTCGCTTTTTCAGGAAAACGCTAGGTTAAATCAAATACTGGATTCGAGTGACGACAATTTTGCAGTTCAGGTACATGTTTGCGCAATATTTGGTCTTTCTTGGCTATAGAGTAGATTGTAAAGCTGGAGCAGCAGCTCAAAATTCTTCTTCAGCAATCAATTCTCATTCGAACCCCTCTCTTACCATTAGCGACCAGTCATACCTACGGTTGTGAGTTGAACATGAACACATGGTCCAACCATGATGGAGCAAGTTTCATTTGAAAAGTCTGGATATAATCTGTTCAGAAACATGTTCCACGATGAACCGACTAATGCAGGTCCCTACGTGAAAAGAAAGGGTGATCTTCAAGCACAGGGGCTGTGCCTATTTATTGGTACAAAATCTGGGAAGTACAGATGTTAGGACTTTAGGAAGTTAGTTGTTTGGCGTGACCCCTCACTCCCTGCATGACTCCACCCTGAAATGAATATGACCGGTGATTGCGTTGATGCCAGTCGTCTTGCTCGTCTTACTGCTCTACCGTCTCCTCATGTATGGTCTCTCGTCTGGAGTTGCAGTTTTCCTTTTCGCCGTATGCTCAGGTGACGGATATGCGGTGGTGAGGCGGACGTGGTGTACTGGCAAATGATACACTTATCAGGCGGGTCCGAGGGTTAAATCCCGGTTCAGCTCCCGCCTAGGCCAACCAAGCCCTCTGCCCCTGAGGGACGTAAATATTGTATATAATTTGCTTCGTCTGTTTGTTTGTTTTTGTAAGTTTGTTTGTCTGTCCGGAAATTCGGTTCGACCTGAAGAACGACTTGGAGAGGTCGGGTCAAGGTGGGGATGGGTAGGGCATGGGACAAGAAATAAAAAGCACACTTGACCTATGCGGAAGCCCCGCCCACAGTGGGCGGGGCATGCTAGCAAGGGTTGCCAGACTAAATGGGAGAGACACACCCAAAATGAGCAGGGCGTACTTGCGCCACACACCCACATCACCACAGTGCTGGGCACGCCTAAAGTGTGTTGAGACCCGCCCACAGTGGGCGGAGCTTGCCCTCAATCGCAGGATACTCATTTCAAAAGTTTGTAGCTCGGTTCCAGAACACTCCAGAGACCGGAAAAACGAGGATTAAGGTCAGCGAGGGCTGGCCGAAGAAATGTGGGGCACACCTGTTGCGGGCGGGCCTGCCCGAGGTGGGCGGAGCCAGACAAAAACTGTAAAACGGTATCAGAGCATCCAAACACCGGAGAGAAGTGGAAGGGCCAGCGAGGGCTAGCCAGTTGAGAAATGTGGGGGCACACATCTTGTGGGCGGAGCCGGACAAGAGAATCTGTAAAACAGTTTCAGAGCGCTCCAGACACCGTCAACAAATAATTACAACAATTACGATTACAACATGTGAGCAGAGATGCGCAGGAGCTTGACTGTTAAAGTGAGATAGACACGCCCATTGCGGGCGAAGCATGCATCGAAGTGAGCGGAGAGAGAGACCTGGTTGCGGAGCAGCAATGGCACCGGGGCAAGAGAATTGTGTTCAGAAATAAGTGAAAGAAGATACGAGCGGCGAAGCCGGGCCGTATCACAGAAGGAGGCACGCCGGTGTCTGCCGAGCCGACTGGTATTTAATAAGCCACTACTATCCTGACTGGGAGTAGAATGCGTGCCGCGTCATATAAGGGATTTATCCTTTATCCTTTTATGCTCATACAGTGCTCAAAAACAGCTGCGAGGTGCAGACCTTTTTTTCGGTTTTGAACGATTTATTTCGCATTCTTCTTCACAAACAAGTCACTCAGCATCTGCAATTGCCGTTTTGAGCCCTATCGTGAATGTATGTTTGAATGCCGGACGTCTGCGAGAAAATGTCTTCCTCCCGTCTGGAAAGGTTGTAGTTAGTGCGAAAGATGAGAAGTGTAATTATTATATTGCGAAGAACCAATGAGAGGAGAGCTAGCAAGGCTGGTGGGTCCATTCGGTCGTTCAACTTCGACTTCAGATGTGATAGGTTGGCTTGACACGGTTGCTCAATCGCCATATCGTTTTTGTCCTCCCATAAAGCTCCGATACAATCAGTTAATCGCGAATGCACAGAAGATGCTGTTTAGTTGGTAACGTGGCGATCAGTCGAGGTGATGTCAGGAGGGCGGAATGAGCTCGCTGCCGGCTTCCCTGCTCCACCAATGGTAGTCGGTTAATGATTGATTTAGGGCGAAAACAACAAGTGATGGAAACGTCGCGGGAGGGCTCATTCCATCCTTTCTTGAAACCGCCCCGACCGATTGCAACAAGTTCCCATAGGTTATGGTTGTGGCTGTGGCGCTGTTGGTTATTACGGAAAATCTTCTCATACTTTCCCATAAAAGAGTGTTTCTAGGTAGCTGGTGTGACTCGTGAAGAGTGGACTGTCTACAAAGCGTACGCTGAGCAGTTGTCAAATCGAAGCGGTAAAGAGCGTCCGTATGAACGGGTGAAACCGTCTCTAAGAAAAGCCTACGAGCGTCGGAAAAAGGAGGCAAAAATTGTTGAGGACTATGTATTTGACGAATCAGCAACACGAAG